CTACCCACAAGGTCGGCAGTTCAAATCCAACAGCCACTCTGCAGGAGAAAGGTGGGGCTTTATACTCCTCTAAACAGTCTCAGAAGCCCATAGGGGCAGTTCTACCCGGTCTTTGGGGGTTTTTTTAATCATTTTACTGGGGGCTCATACAACTCTTATCACAATCCATACATACATCAATTGTGTAAAGCACATTTGTACCTTCATTACCCTCATCATTCTCCAAACATTCGCTCTCCACATTTAAGCCCCTGGCATCAGCTCCTCATTTTCCCCTCTCTGCCCTGTCTTGTAGGGTCACTCTCAGTCAGAATCCACTCAATGGCAGTGAGTTAAACGGAATAAACCAGACACACAAAAGGACAAATATTGTGCAGCACAATCCCATGTTTATGAAAAATCTAGAAGAGGAGAACCTAAAAAAGACAACAAAAGATTAGTGGCTATGATGTAGTGGTTACGAGTTGGACTGTGATCCACATGTGCGATATGCATGGTCGGCAGTTCGAAACCAGCAGCAGTTCGAAACCAGCAGCAGGCTTGTTATTCCCGTAATGTCTCGGAAGCCCCACGGGAGGTGCTATGAGTCAGCACTGACTCTATGGTAGTGAGAGAGGATAAAGGGAGGGTGAAGGGAAAAGTAGAGTGAAAGTTTTGAAAAGGCTTTTATTTTATAGTTAGTAAAGTTATTAATATCAGTAATAGAAAAATGAAAAAACTGTGCACTGAAAATTGGTCTTGGATGTAAAGGTCAGTACTTTTGAATTTTCCATTACTGATCTTAACAGTATGACCAAAAAATAAAAGCATAGCTATACTTTTTTCAAAATGCTCAAAACTCAACAGTATGAAAATAATCCAATTAGAAAATGAGCAAAAGACATGAGGATATACAGATGGCAAATAAGCACATGAATGCATGTTCAACATCACTAGCCATCTGGGAGACACAAATTAAAGCGTCCCGGAAGTATCTCTACATACCTATAGAATGAGTAAAATAAAATATAAAAGAGTGACAATACCAATTACTGACAAGGATGCAGAGAAACTGGGTTAATCATCCCTTGCAGGTGGGGATAGATAGTGATACCATTCACTCAGGAAAACAGATGGGTGGGTGGTCATGCACATGCAACTATCCTACAATCCAGTAGTTGCGCTCTTGGGCATTTATCCTAAGGAAATGGAAATTTCTATTCACATAAAAAACTCAAAACAAACAAACAAACCAAGCTCACTGCATCAAGTCAACGCTGACTCAGAGCAGCCCTGTTGGACAAGGTATAACTGCTCCTGTGAGTTTCTGTGACCAACTCTTTATGGGATTAGAAAGACCTGCCTTTCTCACCAGAAGCGGCCGGTGGTGACAAACTACGGACCTTGAGGACTGCAGCCCAACATGTAAACACTACGCCACCACGGCTCCATTCACACACACTGGTACATAATTATTCACAGAAATTTCATCCTTCATTGTCAGAAAACTGGCCCAGATTGCTTTCAAAGAGTGAACGATTAAAGACACTCATACTACATAATACTAAACTGAAAAAAAAAAATTTTAACGGATTGCTATTGAGTCAACAATTATGACTTAAAAGGGTTACTCGTTGGGCTGCAACCACAAGGTCAGCAGTTCAGACCCACCAGCCGCTCCAATGAAGAAAGCTGTGTCTATTTGCTCTCTTGGAAACCTACAGAGACAATCCTATTCTATCCATAGTTCTGAGGACAGAATACTACTCAGCCGCAAAAGGAAATAAACTTTGGGGTCAGGGAATTATGCTGAATTTAGCCTCAATAAGTTCTTGAAACAGCATAATTATGGAAAATGGAAAATACATTCGTAGTTTCTTTATGGGGATGAGTCAGTTCTGTAACTTGACTGTGGAGGTGACCATGTGAATCTAAACATTTGTCAAAATGGCATAGAGTTAAATACACATATGCAAGTAAGTGAATAAAAACATGGTGAGATTTGAATAATGTGGATAGCTGTATTAATTTCAATCACCTGGCTATGATATTGTACGACTATTATACAAGATGCTATTATGGCCAAATGGATTTGGTAAAAGTCTATGATAATCCCAAAATTAAAAAGGCAAAACTAAAAGAGTAGATAAGAGGGGGTGGAATGCTCTAAAATTGATGTGGTAATGACTGTACAATTCTCCTTGGCGTGACAGAATGATTGAACTATTGAATTGTATGATATGTGAACTACGTGCCAATAAATTGTTGGGGAGAAAAAAAAAGTAGCTAATAAGACCAGCCAATGGCAAGAGTAGACAAAATAAAGCTTTTATGTTTGTCAAAGACTCAACAACTCATAGCCAAGAAAGGGAGGGAGAAGGGGAGGAAAGGTACCATTAAAAAGAACATCTACAGGGTAATAATTAAAGAAATCACCTCTTCTTCCATCCTTATCAGCTTTGGATTTTGTTTCTATCCTTGATTTGACTGCTGTTGTTAATAAAATAAACCACATACATCCGTCTGTTTCTCCATACTACCACCACCACCCTACACTATAAATTCATATGCATGACCCAAAGGCTTCCGAATGCTAACAAGTCATGAAACTTAAAACAATATAGCATGCACACATTTCACTTGCCAGAAAAAGTTAATAAAAGCAGTATTAAAACAAAAATACTGCCAGCAGGTGGACAACTCGCAGCCACCATCTAGGGGTAGACAGTAGAGCTACAGGAGCAGACAGCCTCAGCTTTCTAGAGAGGAGTTGCCATCTTTCCATTAGAGCTGGCAACCTAATTAGCAGCCCAATACCAAATCCGCAGTGCCACCAGGGTTCCTTAAAAGAAATATTAGGAAGGTAACCATTTTAATTAGGGGGTTTCTAGATCGTTCTGTCCACCTTTAAGATGCTTATTTTACAGATCCCAAAACTAAGGACAGTTGAAAAGAGGCTCTTAAAGCTACGTATCTAGCTAGAACTGGGGCTGGAACCTGAGCCTCTCCAGAGTCCTAATTCCTTTCTCTTCTCATGAAATTAGGAGCCCTAGTGATGTAGTTGCTATGAGTTGGGTTATGATCCATAAGGTCACCAGTTTGAAACCACCAGCTGCTCAGAGGGAGAAAATCCCAGGGCTCTGCTCCTCCCGTATAGTCTCAACAACTCAGGGGGCAGTTATGCTCTGTCTACAGGCTCTCTGTGAGTCACTCTTCACCCATGGGTCCCCACCCTACCTTACTCTAACCCACCTCAACCCCGAATAAACATACTGTCAACTGAGTCACTTCTGTGTTTTATTTTTGTTTTGTAATAAAGGAATTTTCCCCCTCAATAAACTGAATTTCTCAACCTTTCAACTCTGGCATTTCACCTACCAGATTCTTTTAAAAACGTTACGTTCCTTCTCATATCAGCATGTACTCTAGTGTGCAACTGTCCTGATGACAGTTTACTGCTTCACCCTCCGTCTCTAAAGACCATGGGGAAGGAACTCACTGCCACGGGGTCAATGCTGACTCATAGTGACCCCTGTGGGTTCTGAGACTATACCTTGCTACTGAGTAGAAAGCCCAGTCCTTCTCCCTCAGAGGGCTGGTGGTTTCCAACTGCCGCCCATGCAAATGGTAGCCCAGTGCGTAACCACTACACTATCAGGCCTCCTCTAAGGGACAATAAAGGTTTTCATTCTAAGGGGAGTCCCAACCTCTAACATTTTAGCAGCTTCCCTTGAGTTGGGGCTTGCTCACACATGAAGCAGCCTCATTGGTCTATTAAAACCTTGAGTTGGTCTGCTCGCTGCAGGGACTTGAATTGAATAGGCTCTCCCCTCCACTTGCAAATTGAGCACAGTTCCAACTACTGCTTGCTGGAGGCAGCATTAAAGAAAAACTTGCAATGCCAAGCTGCTCTCCGGAAACAGTACTCAAATCAGATCTTAGATCTCCACTATGCAGCAACAGGAATTTGGAAAGCATGAATTCAGACGTGCTGGAATCAAGAAGGAACCCTAGTTGTGCTCTATAGTCCAACATCCTCATTTTTGCAGATGAGGAAACTGGGGCATCAATTAAACCATTAGCCAATAAAGCAGAAGACTAACTACTTTTTCAAAGGGATTCATTTCAAGGCCATTTCTTAGTCTGCATCTCACTGTCTCTTTCCTAGGATGACACACACACACACCACCACCACCACCACCACAACACCCCCGACCCCCGCCTTTATGTGAAAAGCGTGAATGGCGCAAGTTCATTTCAAGAGGGTTGGGGAAAAAAAACACCCTTTGGAGGGATGAGGAGAAATGACGTCTTGTTTCAAATATGTAACCCCTTGATGGGGTTAGGCAGTGAATCACATTCTCCTGCATTTTTCTATGTGCTGTAGACCTCACCCTCAGTTCTGTCCGGTACTCGAAGGAGAGGAAGAGGAAGTGAATAAAGCTAATACTAAATATAAGGCACTCGCAGAAGGCAAGGAGGTAGGCAGAAAAGATCACGCTGCTGCTATAGAAGCCAGCCGCTTTCGAACGTACCCAAACATATGGCAGCGATGATGATCGGAAGGCAGAGCATCCCTCAAATTCCCGAGAGTGGATGCTTCTAGGGCCAGATGGACCCCTTATCCATCAGCTAGAGGGACTGGGAGGGGACAAAATGGAGTTGAGGTCTAGGGGCGCACTAAGGTCGTTTGGAGGTCTGGCAAGCACTGGGGATACTCCTTTCAAAAGGGTCCTGGCAAAGCTTAGTATTGGGGATCAGGAAGATGACTTCGGGCTGGCAGGGAGGCCACGAGTAGCAGGAAGAGACAGGCCAGGGTGGCCAAGAGCCCACGCTCCAGGCAGCCGAGAAGAGAGGATAACCGCGGGGATCTCCCCAGCCCAGGGCGTAAGAAGAAAGCGAGCCCGATTTGGGACACAGGAATACCCACTCCCCCTAGACCAGGAGTACGACGGTGGTCCCGCCAGCCCCGAAAGCCACAGGGCGGGGGCCAGACCGTCCCAACAGTTGGCAGCACTCACCTAAGCGCTGCCCACCACGTCTTCCCAGCCGGCCGGCGTCTGCTGATGGTGAAAGCTGGTGAAAAGGAGCCGCGTGCCCGCTAGCGCCAGAGGAGGAGGGGCGCGCCGCGGAGGCCGGAGAAAAAGCTGCAGCAGCGCGCGCGCGCCCGGGTTGCCGGCGGAGGCGGGGCGAGGCGCGGCGGGGCGCGAGCCCGGAAAAGACGCGCCCGGAGGGGCGGGCGGAGCGGAGGCGCGCGGTGGTGTGGCTGAGCCTGCGAATCGCGGGAGCCCAGAGGCTCGGCCCACCCACGCTCTCGCCGCCGTTCTACCGGCTACGTCACAAACCCCCCCACCCCTACCCCACCCGCGTTTGTGCCGGAGAGACGCTGCGGAGCCGGCCGCCAGCGCCCTAGGGACTAACGGCTCGGCAGGCTCCTCGCCTCGGGCTGTCGCTCCCGCTCCGGGCCGCCCGGGCTGGTCTAGCTGGCCTCGTTATCCCCAGGGGGTGTTGGAATTCTTCCTGCTTATCTCCCTTCAGGCGGGGACAAAACGGCCTGAAACCACACCTGTGCCTGGGTTCCCAGGGTTCCGCTTGCGGTTGAAAAAGTTCCCTTCCAGTCATCCTCTCGCCGCCCTATAGAGATGCCTATCTTTGAACTTCTCTGGCCCTTCCTCTCGCTAGAGATCAGAACACTGGCCAGAGGCATCCTGCTCCTTGAAGACTGAGCTATTTCGATCAGGCCCCTCGCTGCTTGAAGATCCCTGTTCTCTTTCCTACTACTGAGATCACATTGCTACTGGGTTGTCACTTGATGCCTTTCATTTTCCCAAGGTGGTAGAAGACCCAAAGGGCCCCCAATGTAAAAGGAAAAGTACGGTAACAGCAACATCGTGACATCTTAGTGGCCTGGCTCCTTGATGATGAGCCAGTACCTATGAACACTCTGCCTAGGACGTAAGAAATGGCTCTGTTGAAATTAAAATTCCAGTGAACTGTGTCAGGACTTCAAAAGACACAGACCATCATCCCAAATGAGCTACTTTACACGTTGCCAAGAACATATTCCCCAAAGAAGATATTTTCCAGTGATCTTCCAGGGCCCTGATGCATAATGGTGGACTAGGGACTTTTTTGCCACTGGTCCGAGGGAGAAAGATGAGGCTTTCTACTCCCGTAAAGAGAGTGGGAAACTCACAGGGGCAGTTTTACCCTGTCCTAGAGGGTCGCTATGGGGTCGGAATCAACTTGATGGCACTCCGTTGGTTCCGTTTGGGAATGGATGTTCAGGGAGCCCTGGTGGTGTAGTGTAGTGGGTGGCACAGGGAGCTCCTAACCACAAGGTCAGCGCCTCAAACCCACCAGCTGCTCCACAGGAGAAAGATGAAGCTGCCTGCTCCTGTAACGATTCCGAGTCTTGAAACCCTAGAGGCACTTCTACTCTGCATTACAGGGTTGCTGTCAGAGAGAATCCACAGACGGCAGGGGGGTGGTTTTTGGTTGCTCTTGGTGGGGGTGGTTTGTTTAATGGACATTTCACTTTACTTCAAATGCTGCTTATTTTCTACGAAAATATCCCTAGTATTGCTTTATTAAATAGCTTGCTGTTTTCCATTTTCCCACATAATTACCAAAGAAAACAACAAACATTTGTATCTATTTGTGTGTAGACAGATAAATTAAAAACTCAGTCTTTGGGTTGATGCCAACTTACCAAAATCCTAGAGGACAGAGTACAATTGCCCTTGCGAGGTGCAGAGACTGGAACTCTTTACGGGAACAGAAAGACCTTTCTGTCTCCCAAAGAGCAGCTGGTGGTTTCGAACTGATGGTTCTTCAGATAGATAAATAGGGACTTCAAAAAAATTCATGGGAAAAAAAAATTTAATTCATGGAAAATTCCATTATCTTTCTAGTTCATTTGTCCACAAATCTTTTTAAACCACTATATAATATATCCTAGCCATGTATACATGTTATTATACACATACATCCACGTAGATATATATATATACACATATATGTATATATTACACGCACTTATATATGAAATGTCCATTAAACAACAAAAACTGCCCTGTTTGCGCAGTGGTTAAAGCCAACTGAAAGGTTAATAGCTAGAACCTACCAGCCTCTTTGTGGGGGACACATGTGGCAGTTGCCTTTCTTTAAGTTTTACAGCCTTGGAAATCTTATGGGGGCATTTTTACTCCATCCTATAGTGTTGTAGTGAGTCTGAATTGACAGCAAGGCAGTCGGTTTGGATTGGGGTTGTTTGTTTATATATATAAAGGAGCCACTTCCATTATCTTTTAATTCCATTTATCTGTGGACATTTTGAAGCCTACTCCTAAGAGGGAACCTGATGACAACAACAGTTAAAGCATTATTTTTTGTTTGGTTTGATTTTTCTAAATCATTTTATTGGGGGCTCATAGAACTCTTATCACAATCCATCCATCCATCCAGTTAAGCATTAGGTTGTTAACTCAAACCCAATGGCATTCCCCTGAGATGTACTTCCTTAATGATCACAGTCTAGGCGACACGGCATATGCATTTATGTGGTAGTATGCCCCAGACTAAATTCTTAGTAAATTCTTAAATGTCATGTCACTCATTTGGGGGTGCTTGTTATAATAGGGGTCCCTAGACCCATAACCCCCAGATATTTTGATTGGGCTTAGGGTTGAGAATTTGCAGTTTGTAATAATCATCCCAGGTGACACTTTGGTGGTTGGAGCCCACAATTTGAAAGCATAGAGCTATGCCTTATGTGTGTTACTACTCTGAAGTTGGATTACTCATGCAATTGCCAGGAAAGCCCACACACTTGTATATACCTATAAATATTGCTACGGCAGCCATGCAACTTCTATTGTCAGGACTGACCTAGAAAGTTCAAGACTTCAAACAACAAGTTTAATCATCGTATTTATTTTATGAGATAAGTAATCATTGGTCAGTCATAATTCATCGAGTGCCTACCAGGTACAGAGAAACCTCTGTACTGCCCTCCATCATGTGCAGTACTGGTAAGTTAAAAGAATGGAAGAATTGATGATCCCTGCCCTCAACAAACTTAGCATCTAAATGTAGAATGAAAGCCTAGACACAATTGACCCATCCAGCCCAGAAATCAGTCTGTTGGGTGAAGATGAAAAAGAACTTTTAAATCAAGAGTCCTTTTGTCAGTTTATCCTCAGTCTCTTAGCCCAAAACTTCGCAGTTAGGTAATTTCCTCCGAACACGGAGTCCTCAGCGTATTGAAGTTCCTCTAATGCTACAACGTAGAAAGCACTGAAAAGTTCCCAGAGTGGTGCAACTGATTTGAGCTCAGCAGGTCACCCAATGCCATGGGGACCCCACCCCTCCCCAGTGGTACCAGAGCAAGAAATTGCCCCTGTGGGCTTCCAAGACTGTAACTCTTAACAGGAATAGAAAGTCTCACCTTTCTCCTTCGGAGAGGTTGGTAGTTTTGAACTGCTGACCTTGCAGTTAGCAGCCCAACTTGCAACCACTTGTAACCCCGGCTCCCTTCCAGTCAAAAAACACTTTGGTAGAAGACAAGAACAAAGGAGAGAAAGAAAAAAATCACTGGAGCCAGAAGCTATCCATTTTTTGTTTGTGTGTACACTGTTTTTAATCAGACAAGACGTTACTATACATGAAGATCTTTATCACAAAAGCTACTAATTAAGGCACACTATTCTGGCTACTTCTGCAACCTACCATATCACATGCCCTTCCTCCACAGTGAATGAACCACACTTGGGGAGAAGAAGAAAGAACTACATCTTTCGGGGGAGAAAATATAAATGTATCCATCCTATTTCTGGCTTCTCCTTTTGCCTCCTTGCTGTGTCAAAACAAGCCTCCTTTCATTTCTCTTTATGAGAAACCTTGGAGAATCCAGGGGCAAAACCTTTCTCAGGCCACCTGTTTTGACATTTGAGAGAGAACATTTGTACTTTGTGACTAGTTACAAAAGAGAGAGAGAGAGAAATTCACTTCCATCAAATCGATACCAACTCATAGAACTTTACAGAACAGGGCAAAACTGCCCTTGTGAGTTTCTGAGACTGTTTACGGGAGTAGAAAGCCCTGTCTTGCTCCAAAAGAGTGGCTCCTGGTTTTAAACTGCTAACCTTTCAGATCACAGTCCAATACATAACCACGATGCCATCAACCACAGTTCCCACTGCCAACAAGTGGATTCCGAATCACAGAGACCTTACAGAACAGAGTATGACTGCTCCTTAGGGTTTCTGAGACTGTAAATCTTCCTGGGACAGACAACCTCATTGTTCTCTCGGGTAACAGCTGATAGGTTTGGACTGGTGATTTTTGTCGTTAGAATCACAATACTTAACTCACTATGTCACCAGGACTTATCATCCCTGTTTTACAGATAAAAAAACAGACTCGATTTAAGCGACGTGCCCACTCACACCACTGTCTGTTAGCAGAATCTGGATTTTTGACAAGTTGCATGTCCTAGGCTAGCCAGAGCTGCTTACATGGTGTTTTCTTCCCATAACTGATTATGGGGTGGTGAAACATTTGGTAATAGTAAACGGTTTCTGATGACACAACAAATTATTCGAAATGAAACATGTAGTGAATTCTAGGAGTTTCTGGCAGCTGTTTGCCTTGTCTCATCTCAGACTTCACTGTAGCCGTGGTCCTAAGTCATGCCCTTGGAGCCATTGCAACACCAACCACTCCTCAGGCCCTGTATCCCAAACTCTACGCTCTGTAGGTAATGTAGTCATTTTCATTTCCACCTTTATTTCCCATCACCCGTTGCTGTCCCGACAATTCTGACACATAGCTGGGCTTCTTAAATGGCTTCCACTTGCCACCCTTTTTGCCCAAAAGAATTTTACATGATTCTGAGCATCTAGGTTTATGAACTAAGTATGCAAATCAAATATGACTTTTTGTTGAAGAAATGGTTTTGATAGTATCGCAAAGCCTATCTAACTCTGGATATATATATATATTACATTTGGGAGGCTACAAGCACATGTGTGTGTTCAGAACCAAGGCTGAAGTGAAGCTTAAGAAGCTGAGTGGCTAGACCAGGGTGGGGTTCAACAGGTGGCGTTGGGTTGCGAACCAC